CTCCAATGTGCCACAGCCCTGGATAAGCCATTAGACTCTGATTTCCCCATGATCTGCTTTGGTCGGGGTCCAATTCATGGTGAGCTCCAGCCGGGCTGGGTCATAGGACAAGCAGAGTCTGGTGACTCCTGCAAAATCATGGCACTGGAGATCCAAGGGGGGCACATGCCCCCCCGCAATCTTTACACGGAGCAAGGGTGGACTGCAGCTGCAAGGCAAGCTGGGATCTGCCTGCTCCATGCCTCACTGCAGCCTTTGAAAATGGCGCCGCACAGCACCATGTCCCTCGCTGCCCAGCCTGCCCAGTGGTGGGAGACACATGGCAGTGCACCACTTTCTGCTCAGGCAGAGCCCAGCTCATTTTGCAGCTGCAGCCCGCCCTCGCCCCGTGCAAAGATCAGTGGGGAGGGGATATGCACCCCTCTTGGCTCCCTGGTGCTGTGACTCTGGAGGAGCTGCCAGGCTCTTCCCGGGGATGACTTCGATGGGGCAGGGCAGGGGTACTGGGGGCTCCATCTCCTCCAGTCCGGCAGCACAGCCGAGGCTGGCCACACTCCAGCTCTGAGCTGCCGCGGGCCATGAAGGGCTGGGCCAGACCAGGGCTGATGCAGGGAGGCAGCCAGGGCCAGTGCAGGGCTGGGGGACAGTGGACACCAGCGCCAGGCAATGACCCCTGGCATGGGGGAAGGGGCAACTGCACGGGTGCAGTAGACCCTGGCCCTGAGCCTGATCCCTGCCTGGTGCCAGCCCCAGCCTTGCTCGCTCCCTCCTCATAGCCCTTTCCCCTCCCCCTGCCCCTTCCGCCACAGACTTTCGTGCATGGGGGAGGGGGTGAGAGCAGGCATGTGCACATGCTCAGCCCCCCTCCTCGCCAATTTTTTTCTCCCTCTGCCTCTGGCCCCCTGGTCGGGGATTGGCTGCTGGTGCCCCCCGAGTATTAGGAGGCACCAGTCGCCCATGTCTCTAGGTATCCACACTAAGGTGTCTACACATGCTCAGAAATGGTCCCGTTTGAGTACCTTAGTGCCAAACAGATGCATAAGCTCTGTTGCCATTCTTATTTGTCCTTGGAAATACCAAGCACTATCTAAATCCGAGAAGAGGCATCATTAGTACTCTAAGCATGCCTGTCTCATGCTGACTGTGTTAAATGTAGTTAAAAAATGGTGGTCACAGTAAATTTTTGCCTGATAGTCCAGTACAGAGATGGGCAATTATTTGGGCCTGTGGGCCACATAGGCAGTTCTGGGGAGCTGCCCCGGGCTGGTCAGCATCCCCTTCTCCCCTTACAACAGCCTGGAGCCTGTGCATCCTGTGGCTTATCCCCCCACCACCATCAGTGCACAGCCCCAGCCCTGACCCCACCCCACCCCGCTCCTGCTCCAGACTCACCTCAGCTGGCAGGAACCTGCACACACAGCCCCAACCCTGGCCTGCCCCATGCCTGCTGTGGACCACCTGCCCATGCAGAGCAGCAGTAGCAGCCAGGAAAAAGCTGCTACTCAGCACAGGGAAAAAGGGCCCCTCCCCCTCACCGCTACCGGGCCCTTCTTTCTGCAGCCACCCAGAGACTGTGCCCAGCCTCTCCTGCAGTTCCTCTCCACCACCATCACTGCTGCCTCCAGGCTGCCCAGTGGGGCAGCAGTGGCAGTGCAGGAGAGCCAAAGGGCAGCCTGAGTGCGGGCTCTGCATGGCTGCAGCAAGAAGGGCCTGGCAGTGGCAAAGGGGAGGGGCTGCTTTACCCCTGCACTGAGCAGCAGCTTCTGCCTGGCTGCCACTGCTGCTGCTCAGTGTGGGCAAGTGAGTCTGGAGCAGGTGCGAGGCAAGCCAGGGTTGAGGCTGTGCATGCAGGTTGGCTGGTCCAGAGCTGGTCCACTTCACTGGGCTGAGTCTGGAGTAAGTATAGGGTGGGCTGTGCACACAGGTCCCCACCAGTACCACAGTGCTGGGGCAGCTGGAAGGAGCCACCACCAGGGCTGCCTAGAAAGGCAGGTTCTCCTCAGCCTGAAGAAACACAAATCCTCATCTCAGCCTTCCTAGAAAAATGCCTTCACCACCATGCTATGAAGTAAGCTGTATAGGAGCAACCTCCACCTTTCTTGTTGAAATTGGATTACTGGGTAGCCAAGAGTGGAAGTCATGCAGTCAGGCAAGCAACATGAGGGAGCATGACCGTGGAGCCTCATTGTTGTGATATTTCCTTGAAAGGAGAATTATTCTTGATGCTGTAATTAGCATTTAATGTAAAATGTATGAATAACCCTGGCACCAGGTACAAGAGCTCCAGACTCCTTCCCACCCAGGGAATGCCCTGACCACTAGGCTAAAGAAGAACGTTCTC